CCAGGTAGAGGATCGCAAGGCCGTCATGGACTTGGCGGCTGGCGTGTCCACCGCCCTGCCGTCGGCTGCCTCCATCCAGGACGCCGCTGATGTGGCAAACGGGTCTCGGCCCGACCTCCAAGACGCGGTGCGCTGCCTCCTCGTGGCGATGCGGGCGGCCACCATGAACGCAACGTCTCCGGTGGTGTGGCCCGGCTGCACCGTGGCGGCTCCGGCATCGTCGGCGTTCCAGCAGCCCAAGGCCGGCCGCGTCAAGGCCAAGCCGGCTCAGCGCACCGTGCTAGAGAGTAGCTCGGGCGAGGACTCGGGCTGGAGCTCCGCGGGAGCGTCTCGCCGCCCCCCGGAGCCATCTTCACCTGCGTGCGATGGCCAGGCACGGCAACAGGCCAAGCGCCACACGAGCAGGACTCGTGGCAGTGGAGGCGGATCGGGCTCAGGTTCAGACCGGAGTCTCACCCGGAAGCACGGCGCTCGGAAGGGTCCTACTTCCAGTTGTCCCTCCTATTACTGTTGAATATCAGTGCACCATTCGGCCTTCGACAGGCGAGGTAGAACTTACCGCAGCATCCAGCGAAGTGGACGAGACGTAGTCGACAACGTCGCCGGGAAGACTCCTGTCCGAAAATAATAGCAATATGAAAACGGGAACAGGATGCATGCAACAAAGCACAGACAAACGTTGTGAGACGCTGCATGTAAGAACCGATAGTGCTCCAGTTGTACGTGGGAGAATCGAGACCTGCACAAACGGGAATGGCCCTTGGCACCATCTCACGTCGGAATACGAATTCCGTTGTTGAACTTCTGCCGGAAGCATTCACCACATACCATACATCCACGAACAATGTCAAAGCCATGCTCAAGACTTGGGGGCGGGGGGGGAGGGGGTGTGGCACGGAAAAAATAAGACACGGCGAGAAGGCATCGTGAAAATGCACCTGTTCCACAGCCCTGTAACCGAGAGACCCAAGCATGCAGGAAGCACTCCAAAAGACTTGCGTATGGTATTCATTGCCCGCTTCTTTTCGGAGCGACGGATGACTACTGGGTCTCACACCACATGCCATCAGCGTGAAGGCAATAAGAACCATCAAACGCATGACGGAAGACGAGCAACGTCTGCACACATCTCCCACCTAAAGACTTCTATGACCCTCTCTTGCTGCTCCTGTTTGAAGACAGCCGTCGCCGCCTCGTCGATGGCGACGGAGCGGAAACCCTTCGTGGCGGCCTCTTCCACGAGCCCGCGGACAGTTTCAACGTCGCCAGAGGAGGAGCTCTTGATTGCCTTTGCCAGCCTCTTCCCGAAGCGCTTCTCGTCCTGAACAAAAAGGAAAGGCGTACGTAGTGGACCGAACGAGGGGGAGAGGGGGGGGGGGTTGATATTTGCCCAATGTCACAGAAGAAGGAACAAAAACGAAGATATGGTGCGTGTGTATGCATCTATCTATCTTATGTCGAATATCTTGGCGGGGGTGGGCGGAAAAAAACGGCGAGGAAAATACGCAGACTACAGAATAGTTATTCCCTGCTGAGAGCTTTCGTTCTGGTCAGGCTTCGTTTGGAGTCTCAAGCTAGCTGTGGTTGATGTTTTCACTGATGTTCTCTGGGCCTCTCGTCTGCTTGCGCAGGGCACAGACACGTGCATTTGGCAATAAATCTGGTTGTCTCTTAAAATATTCAAGAATTCAAAAATTTAAATATTCTGCTCGCAGCAAGCGCCCAAAACAACGAAACATTGCTATTTGTTCATGTAGACGTTCGACGGTACTGCCGAAAGCGGAGGGGCCAAATCCTCTTGCTGCTACTCTGAGATCCATGCCACAACAATTCGATCCCCATGCCGGTGTGCAATATATGCGTTCAAACAATATCGTTCTTGAGTTTTTTCTCGCACGAAAATATTGAACCCCGGTGGTGACAACTATTAATAGACCTATCTATCAGATCAGTACCCACAGTACCAACGATTCGATTCAATTCTGCCGTTTTCTTGCATGCGGCGAAGCTGCGAACGGAAGTAGTTCAACAGCAGTACATGCCAGTAGTTGCTATCGGTCCGGTGTGAATACTGAATGTGGAAGACAAGGCGAATTATGTAGCTGCACTTGCCAAAAACCACCAGAACAGAATCTATCTACTCTCCAGTGAGAGAGCCAGGCACCACAAAAGGATGGGTGCGATTTCAAAATCGAACGACAAGCATACGACTGACTGATGACTTGACTGACTGCTGTATTTCTAACCCGGACAAGCTTTTTGTCATGATGTGCAGACCATTTTTTTCCGTCCACTGTTGTTCTTTAGATCTTTTGGTGGCTCTAGCATATTTGTGACCACGGACCGAGTCTTCGCTAGATTTGGGATTTGCAATTGACACGAGTGTAATGTGAAGAAAACAGCATCAACAATAATACTTGCCTTTCCGTACGCCCGCTGCTGGCCCGCGACGTGCTGGTAGAATGTCTTGGGGATGGTGGGCTTTGTTGTCTGAAGGAGGGCGGTCTGTTGGGCCGTGACCGCCCGCAGGATCTCGTTGTCGTCGTTGTTCTGCCCGTTCGTCAAGCAGCATACCAAAGCAGCACACAGAGCGCGCGGAAAGACTTCACAAGAGAGCGGTCTGACAATTGCTGCTGCAAAAAAAATGTCCGTTCGTCCGTTCAACTTCCGGGCAATCAATTCACAATCGATAGGAGAGTTGAACAGGCAACGCGTGAAAAACCTCCCGACAACTAGAGTTGTTGTTGTTGTTGTTATTGTTGTTGTTGTTGTTGTTGTTGTTGTTGTTGTTGTTGTTGTTGTTGTTGTTGTTGTTGTTGTTGTCTTCACATTGAACCATATGTCAGTTGCTAAATGCCAAAATCTAGCAAAGACTCTCAGCCCGTGGTCACGAGGTGCTAGAGCCATCTGAGGATCTAAAGAACACGCACCATATAACGAAAAAAAAAAAGGTATCCAAGAGCGAGCCCGAAGAGATACACCTATCTATATAAAAATCCCTGCAGCACCGCATGCGTGCCCAAAAACTGAACTGCACGTCCGTTCCACCGTTCGACTACAGTAGCATCACCCCCTCCCTGTCCCACTCTATACCAAAACGGAAGATTGCCGACTACAGCATACTGCTGTCTGAAGTGCTGTCTGTACAAAAACACCATGGTAGGCATGGAACAAGAAGCTGGCGGGGCACAAAGCTGCTGTCTGAAGTGCTGTCAGAATGTGTCTGCGGACGTACAGTGAAAAAGAACAACCAACCAAAGCCATCATGGCAGCAATTGACAATCACCCGAATCTCTCCCGATCGTCTGTGTTAGGCACTGCAGTGAAAAATATCGATACTAATTAGCTAAGAATCGTTCCACATTGAAGGGGTCTTCCACGATCAGGCACAAAACCAAGGCACCCGGGTTAGCCACGCCATCTCTGACGGGTCTCGCTACAAAACCGGTGACGACGTCATCACATAAAACCAACACGGAAAGTCAGAAAAAAACGAAAAAAATTGACAACACAGATATAAATGTTTGTCCGTGCGCCACGGGTCGATGTCGCCCGCATGCTCCGGTGCCACTGCTCCATCCGGCGCCGCTGTAGTAGAGTAGAGGCGGGTAAATGTTGAAGTTTCTCCGGTTCGTCCGCGATCCGGGGCGATCTTTCATTCCACCGCGTGCACCAGACATGGCATCCACCCTCACCGCAAGCCAAACCTACGTGTCTGGTGTGTGGTCACTTGTCTGACGACATGCCAGTGTGGTGGCGGTCTCACAACATGCCCTCAGCAACAGCAACAGCAGAGATAGACGGGTGGACGGAACCACCACGGATCGGATGGATGGATGGATCCAACGGGTAAACGTTTCATTGTACAGCCAACCAGCGACCTCGCTGACCACCAGCGGACAGTGTCGCAGGCGAAATAGCATACCAAGGCATATTTCGCACAACGGGACCGTTTGGTCATGGTCATGCTCAGGCACACCGCAGTCTGGGTGATTGCTGCACGCCATGGTACATTGTATTGTAAGGTCGAACACCGCCGGCAGTCAACCCCAATCGGTGGTCCCGCAGTCAACCTCAATCGGTGGTCTAAAACGTCGGTCCCGCACAGCACGCTGGCCAGTTTCATCGTGTTGGCGCAGACCAAAGTGGAGAGTTTTGCGCGACAGGGTATAGAGATACAGAAATGAGCACCGTAGACACGAGCAGATCTTGGAATTGTTTGGCTGGCACAAAGGGTTTCAGTCGTACAGATTTATCTGTCTCTTCCAGCGGTGGTCTTGATTGATTGGGAGTTTGGCTGGCACAAAGTGTTTCAGTCGTANGGTGATTGCTGCACGCCATGGTACATTGTATTGTAAGGTCGAACACCGCCGGCAGTCAACCCCAATCGGTGGTCCCGCAGTCAACCTCAATCGGTGGTCTAAAACGTCGGTCCCGCACAGCACGCTGGCCAGTTTCATCGTGTTGGCGCAGACCA